ATTTGCATTCTTGATATGCTGGCTTTTAAGATAGGGAGGGCATCTCAAAGCAGCTCACAGGATTTATTGTGAAGTGCAGTGACTGTTATTCTCTAGGCAAATGAGGCAGTCAATTTGCACATATCAATGTCCCACAAATAGCCATGAAGTGAATGATCAATTCCACTGTTACCTTTTCTCTTTCCGTTTCTCAATTTATTCTGATCTTGCAGTTTCCTTCTTGCTGTCTCTTTGGTATCAGTCACTGATGGCAGAGGCTCTTCCCACTCAGCTCCCATTAAATTTAAGCCCAAACTCTAACGGGTAGGGGATCTCCTAACTGGTCAAGCAGTGGGAAGGCTTGCCAGACAATGCTTTCAATGGCAACCTATGCACTTTTCACTTAGATTCCAGCAGTACCCCAACGCACACTCTGGGGTCCCCAAACCTTGGCTCTTGCCAACCTTTGTCTGATAGTCTCTGTATTTAGGTAATCAGGATGCATCCCTCCAGGAAGAGAGTGCATATTCCATTACAATAGATTGCATGTGAATTTCCATGGATAGGTAATAATAAAATTGAATTTTATTTGGTTTGGATACTCTTAAGCCTGGTGATGGGTTTTCATATGTGTCAGTTACCTGGCTGACCAAAAAAAAAGTCCCACAGTTTTATCTGGGTGATTGTTGGGCAGGTCACCAGGAAAAACTCCCTTGTTTTTGAAGTAGTGCCATGGGACTTTAAGGACCACCTGAACAGGCAGATGAGACCTTGTTTTAACATTTCTTCCGAAGGACATGATAATGCAACTTCCCCAGCATTGAATTCGAGTGTCGGCCTAACCCTAGACTATTTGAGTTCAAGCTTTATATTGGTCTGTGGAGCTAATTGGGGATTTGGGGGAGGGGGGGGGGTTGTATGGGATTGGGACAATAATGTATTATTTATGATCTAGAAGCTATACAGAGGGGAGTTGAGCTGTGTGCTATAAATACATAAACTGTCTAAGTTTGTTTCTACCATCCAGATTCTGTCTGTCATTCAATTTCTGATCAAATGCAATCCCGCTCGGCAATGCATTTGGCCCAGAGAGTCACTGAGTTACATTTAGCTGGTTTGCTGGCTAGCCTTGCAGGACTAGAACATTCAATCTCAGAGAAGGCAGAAAAAATGTCTAAAATAGGAAAAAATATTACAAAAAGATCTCTAGGAAAACGGTGCAGTCATGTAAATATTCTCCACAAACATGGTTTCAATTCATAAAGCCATTTGGAGGTATTGGGAAGCTGCTGTCAGATAATCAGACTGATGGGAACTGTAATTCTGCATCTCTTCTGAAACATTTAATAGATTGTTGCTCATCCTTTTACCACCTAGTCATGGTGTACCAAGGCTAAATAGCACTAGTGACATGATTCACGGTGATAATGACAGTACTTAACAATCTGCAAACTGTGTGTTGTATTTCTCACTCTGAATTCAGAACGACACAAATTATCTCCAGTGAACTATGACAGAAGGGAAAAAGGCTGCCAATATTGTATCCTGACTCAGCTGCTAGCACTCTTGCCTCTGAGTCAGAAGATTCAAACCCCACGTCAGGACTTAGAACCATAGAAATTAACAACAAAGGAAGCCATTTGGCCCATCATGTCAGAAATATGTCAGACCAATATGAAGCTTGAATGATCTTCCATCTTTTTAACCCTAATTTTAATATTGTGCCTTGTAATACTTTTCTATACTATCAAAACAACAATGTCTGTCTGTCTGTCTGTCTGTCTGTCTGTCTGTCTGTCTGTCTGTCTGTCTGTCTGTCTGTCTGTCTGACTGTCGGTCAGTGTATCTGACAATCACGCAATAACCGATTGACGTAGGGACATGATTTATACCTCATCGGAAAGGCCTTGCCTCTGGCAGTGTCCATGGGTATATATTTGGAGCGGGGGGAGGGGGAGGGGGGAATCGCCTCTCGTTGATGAACTTTATTAAACGTTAAGCCCCAAAACACGAGGCGTCCAAATCATCTCTATGTCAATCGGTTGTGACATCCTCCAGTGTGACATGTCCGTTGTGATAATACAGTATAATAATGGCTTGCAGACAAAAAACCAGTGACTGTGAGAGAGAATATAAAGTGTAGTGACTGTGTGCTTTTTGGGAAAGAGAGAGAGACTGAGAGACAGAGAGAGAGACAGGCAGAGACTGAGAGAGAGAGAGAGAGAGAGGGGGAGACTGAGAGGCAGAGAGAGGGACTGAGAGAGGAAATATATTATAGGAGTCCTCCTAGTTGAGTATAGATAAAGATGAAATGTCTGTCTGTGTATCAATCTACATTCCACATTGGATCCTTTGGTTGCAGGTGAAGCCGCAACAGGTACAGCTAGTTTGATAATAAGCAGGTATAGAAGTTAAAAATTTAAGGCAGGAAATCTTCCTTACCCTTGCTGGCATGCTATTTGGGACATTTTACACGGTCCGTCTCAGTATTTTTCTACAGATCAGGAGTGAAGGGGGGGGAGAGAGGCAAAGGAAACAGTGTGTCAGCAGCGAGTGGGGGGAAAAATCCCTGTACGCAAGCTCAACAGGTTTATTGAGTGAGTTTTACAGACCAGGGAGGTTTCATGTTCAATTCCCAGTGTGTTAGATGATCTTAGTAAGGGCAGTAAGGTGCTATAATGGTCGTGATGAATTCTGTATTAGGTTCACATTCCTGACAGCTGTCCAGAGGAGGCTCCCAGCTGGAGTTGCAGGACTGTGGATATGGAGTGAGAAAAGGATCATGCTCAGCTGTCATGCACTCATAACCTGCCAACACTCACTGTTGAGTCTCACACATGATAATGGCCACTTGCTCAATACACTGTTAAGACAATTTGGTGACAGTGGAACTGTAATACTGTATCACAATAAAAGAGGAAAATAATCAAAAGTCTTCAGAAAAGAAGTGAAAATCAGTAAGAGAAAACACTTAAGTGTACATGCGCTGGATTTATTTTGTAAGAAGCTTGTGCTTGTGTTGTAATCTCTGATCATAAGAGCACCAAAATGTACTTTCTATGACCACCATTGCTGTATTGTTCAGTACATGAAGACATAATGCAGGTTTCAGGTTCTCTCAGACTTTTCCTATCACGTGAGGAAATACTTCGCTCAGAGGTAAGGCAGAGGGATTGAGGAAGAGAGTTCCATAGCTTTGGGATGTAGTGGCAATTTCAGGACAGATAGCAGGAAGTTTTTCTTTACCAGATGATAATTAACCACTAAAACAGATTGCCAGGAAAGGTGGTAGAAGCCAGGATGCTGGACTAATTTAAAAAATCAGCTTGATTCAGTGATGGGGGGGATGGTAGGGTGGGTGTTCTGGAGAGATGAGATCAGATGGGTTGAAGGGCCTTCTTCATCCAGATCAATCTTGTGATCTTGTGTGATATTTGGTACACAAGCTTTCATGTCAAGAGGACAACTCAAAATACTGTTTCATATTTGTTTTCAACCTTCAAATAAATACACAAAATAAACAAAATCCATGTTATCAGCTGGCACACTTTTAAAGATTTTCTGTGTGTGGATACATGTGTATGTGTACTTGCATGAGAGAGTGTGGCCTCTGGCATAACGCCTTCTGATTTTGTATGACTGAGTTAACCAACAACTACATTGGTTGGATAATTTTAATAAAACATCTGGGGTATAGCAATCATACAAGTGTTTAGTAGGAAATCACATTATTTTATGTTTCATGCTGTATCTCTAGAAGTAGTAAGTGTTGTTTTAAATGACTATAATAAAAAAAACAATCCGTACATTTTATATATATATATATATTGCTTTTCATGTTGGGAGGATCGGCAATAGTCTGTTGTCAGATATTGGTATTTGTAATTTGTTGTTCCCAGTTATTCTGCATTAGTACTGTTCCTAATCAATATGTTACTGGAAAATGTTTTTTTTGTATCTGATCACTGCATTGTGTGGAACCCATTATCCCTGCACATTTGTATTAATCTATTGCTTTTTCATTTTGTGACTTCTGCTTCAATACAACACCTAGATACTTTCTCCTTGGTCAAATTGCAATGGATATTAACCTGGCTGGCTGTCAAATGTTGGTATGTTAGATCTGAAATTCTCCCAAAATTAGCCTTTGGACCATTTTATTGTAAAATTTAATAACATTCAGAAATGTACAAAATCATTAACCCAGTTTCAATTTTGGAAGCTCTTTTTGCAGTTTTTTTTTAAAAAACCTGCCAAATTAAGATTGAAATTGGAAAATTTCCACAATCCTGCACACCCCATGCCTCTTAAACATCATGTGTTAGATGTCTCCACTTTATTCAACTCATTTGAAGTGCACAAAACAGAAACCATCATATGAAGCTCCTGCTAACACTCCTTGCCTCTGGCTTTCATTAGCTCAGTCTTTTTGACTGCTCGCTCCACCTCACTGAGCTTATGTACAACCTTGCTGTTCTATTTGACCTTGAGATCTTTCTTTCCTTACATTCAGTCCCAGGTCAAGCATACCTGTCTTCATCTTCGCCATATTGACTGCATCTGTTTCTATCTCATGCCTAATCTGGTCAAAATGTTTCCATGCCCTTATAATCTCCAGACTGGACTTCTTCAATGCCCTTCTCGGTAGCACGACTAATCGTAAAACACACAAGCTCCAGCTCATCAACAGTTATGCCACCCATATACTTATCTGCACTAATTGTTGCTTGCTGGTCATCCCGGGCTCCCTGTGGATTGATGTCAAGATGTTCACATACACCTACAAATCCATAATGCCCTTCCAGTTTCTTACCTCTGTGACCTTCTCCAGCCTCCCTCTCCTGCTTATCCCCGCCACTCAACAAACTCAGACATGCTTCACGTTCCTTGCCCCTGTGCCCCATCAATGGCAAAGCTGAACTCACAGATCCAACCTGACACTCCAATTCAGGGGGTGTTCCATTGTTGGAGGTATTGTCCTTTAGGTGACACATCAAACCAAGGTCCTGTCTGCTTGTCCAGGTCCATGTTAAAGATCCCATGGCACTATTTGTAAAGAGAAAGGAGTGTTTCATGATATCCTGGCCAACAATTCCCCAAATAAAATTAATTACTCACTTCATGGCTGTTTGTGGGACATTGCCTTGTGCTGTGTTCACCTACAAAATGAACAGTCACTACATTTTGCAGTATATTCTGTGAAGCATTTTTAGATGACCTCCCAGCATGCAAGTGGATATCAAATTATTAAGGATTATTAAAAAATATACTCCTAGGATGCCGTGTTTCATTAAGGAGAATGTGACGTACACTATTATTAAATAATCATTAAATAAATTACCATGCCTGTCCACAGATGTTTCACAACTGCACAGATCTACTTTGCTTCACTGCAGTATGACAATATGTGCTCCTGGGTATTTGGGAAAATTAGCATCTAAGGATATAAGGATGTGTTGTTCACATCTAGGCTCAACTTAGCCAACTCCCTGCTTATCGGCCTTCCTAACTATTCCCTCCACAAGCTGCAGATCATCCAGGACTCTGCAGCTTGTGTCCTCTCCTGCACCAGGCTCCATGACCCTATCACCCCTATCCTTGCCAGGCTCCACTGGCTCCCCATCCCCCAGAGAATAGAGTTCAAAATTCTTTAAGGCCCTCCAGGACCTTGCTCCTTCCTACCTCCGTGACCTGCTAACCCCATATCAAACTGTCTGCTCCTCCACTCATCAGGCTGCGGCTTGCGGCACATCCCCTGCTCGGCCTGCCCCGCCATTGCTTTTCGGGCCTTCAGCCTCTCTGCCCCCACCATTTGGAACTCCACCCACATTCCCTTTGCTTCCCCCCCTCCCTTGCCTCCTTCAAGGCACATCTCAAGACCCTCCTCTTCAGCTGTGCCTTCAGCCACCCTCCTACCCTACCTAATCCCAACCCCCATGCTCGGTCCAAATCCCTGATAGTCTAGCGCCTTGGGATGTCCTCCCTCACAATGTAATTTTGTATTTTATTTGTAGTGCTAGTAATGCTCGGCAAAGATCCTGAAACAAGTAAAATTGGGCCCAACACCACTAATAAACAGGGAACCTGGTCATAAGACTTGGAGATCTCCTGTACGATCTCAACCCAAATCTTTCAACCAGCTACCTAACTTGAATGTTTGAATAGAGAAACTTCTAAATAATGTTATTGGAAAGATAGAAGTATTTGAGTTATTGGTGGTTGCTAGAAGTAATTTCCCCTATAAGGATTTACCTGGTCTTGTTGCCTCCATTAGTAGAAATGAACATAAATCTTATGGCACAATTCTACCATGCTGTTAATGACTTTAGTGTTTTTATTGTGTTGCTAATGCTATCCAGTGACATCAATAATGTGGTCATATTATTGTTTTTTTCAATTATGTGATCAAATCAAGCAAAGGTTTGATATTACAAAAAGGTTTTTGTCATTTACAAATTAAAGAAATGTTGTCTGTAACTCATCTATAAAAGGATTATTCACCAGAAAGCATTAAATGTACTGGCAATCTACAAATTGAAATACTCATGTTAAAATAGGCAGAATTATTTCTATTAACAAATTTGATATTTTTATAGAAAATTATTAATTAAGTATGATATAATAGAGAAGTGGGAATGTTACTGTCTTGAAATTCATTCATAGTCATTTGTTCTTTATTCTGTGTGCAAAGGCAAAATAATTACCAGATGATGAAATTCAGAAGTGTGGGAGGTAATAGAGCAGAGTAATAATTGTTGGATCTGAAATTCAATTGCAAATGTAGCACACAACGCAAACTTCAAGAGATTTTCCTCCTGTTCGTAAAATGATGACATGCAGAACGACTACAGAAAGATGGATGTATTTCATGAGTTAAAAAATAAGGATGTCATTTTCCATCGAATGGTACACATGACTAACAGAGGTTAGCGAAGATGTGAAAATACATTGAAGTCACTTAATTGATCCTAGGAGCTGATTAAGTTGGGAAATATACAATTTTCATGCAACATTAATCATGATCTGAGTAGGTGTAATGTCTTGGTGCAGCATACTGCAGCTTTATCAGAGTACAAGCACCTAGACTAGAATGGCAGAAATATATCTCTTTGGGGAGCAGTATACCAGTATGTTCACAAAGCATTCCAGAAATGTCTTGCAATCACCTACAAAGTAGTCATTGGTGACTTCTGGTAAAGATAACCCCTCATCTGCTAAAGTAGTGCCTGCAGAACTGACACCACCTGCATTTACACCTGCTCGTATCTTCCTTCCTCTGACTTTCCATCGTGATTTACTATCCAGTAAGGAACTATTAGGTCTGGTTACATACCAGCTGCAAGGAGCATGTGTGTGGGAAGGAACATTTGACATATTTTCTGATTTTTGTGTAGAAATAGTGTTTAGTGAAACAGTAAACTTGCTTGTGCTGGCATAATAAAAGAGTGTGCCATTTGAATAGGTTTGCAATCTCTTGTAAGCAAGGCAGAAATATGATAAATAATTCTGTCAGCTACATTTATAAATGTCCTCTTGCCAGCTGGTCAGGATCAGACCTTTCTTCCTCCTCTATTACATCCCTTTGCTCCACAAGTTCTTGAATCTGTCTTATCAATGGCCACATGGTTTCTTCTTTCAGTTGCCATTTTGTGAGGAATACAGCAAAAAGCATCAATTTTTCCAATTTGATTTGGTAATCAGTAGAAAGCTTCCTAGAACAGTCACCCTAACCCTAACCTCAATTTTAAAAATCTAAACGTTTCCTCTATTATCCTTGTGTGCAACTCATCATCTGATTAAAAGCTATATCTGTTTATGCTCCTGAAGTGGATTATAGTTGCAGTGGAAAACAATACAAATCCTTCCACACCCTCCATATGCTGCTGCAGTGAGCCTCACTCTTCTGTTTGCCCCTTCACTCGGCCACCTTAGACCTGCTGTGCATCCTTCACCTCCTCTGCCACACCATTGGCAGAAAAGCCTTCAGTTTCTATGCCCCTACCCTCTGGAATGTCTTTCCCAAATCCTCCACCTCTCCATCCATCTTTAAAAACCTTCAGAAAACTTACCTCTTTGACTTTCCCTACGTCACCTCTCTCTTCCTCCCTCCCTAACTTCTCCCCCACTCCCCGGTCAGTTTCCAGGAATGACTTGGTGAAGCACTTCAAGTTCTAAACAAAATCCAAGCCAATTCTAAACATCCCAAACAAACATAACTTGAAATATAACTGTTAAACATTGTGGATCCGAATCACCAGATCTCTTTGCTGGAACACTTTCTTACTAAAAATAAAGAACTTTATGAATGTTTAAGAATTAAAATGATTGAAAAACACACATAATTGAGGCTTATAGTACTTTTTAAAAAGAAACATTCTACTTTAATAGTAATAGTGCGGTAGGATAATCTTACCAAGAGTTAACTGTGCAAGAATTCCAGAGATTGTAACAAATCTGGCACATACAAGGCTCAGAGAATGAAAGCATTATTCCCCTGAATATTTGGCATTGATATATTTTATCCTCTGGCGATAGTGACAGATCATTTGGACATTAAAAGAATGAAATTCTTCTTCATATGCCATTTGGATTCCTATAGCACAATGTACTGGAATTGTGCTCTTGTTAAACACTTTGGCACATCCTCCCAACGTGAAAGGTGCCATATAGATGTAACCTTGGCGGCTTGTTTGACCCTCAACTATTCTTTCCACCCCACATCTGTGCCATGACCTGCTCTGCCTTCCCCCACCTCCGCAACATCGCCTGGCTCTGCCACAGTCTCGCACCGCAAGCCGCCAAGACCCTCATACATGCATTCATAATATAGAGGCTTGACTATGCAAACTCCTTGTTGTTGGCCTCCCCAATTCCTCCTTCCATAGGATGCAGATCATCCAAACTCGGCAACCCGTATCCTCTTCCGCACCAGGCTCCGTGATTCTATCACCCCCATCCTTGCCTGACTCCTCTAACTTCCCATCACAGAGAGGATACAGTTCAAGATCCTGGTCCTCACCTTTAAAGCCCTCCATGATCTTGCTGCCCCCTACCTCTGTGACCTCCTAACCACCTACCATCATGCCGGCTCCCTCTGCTCAGCATGTCCCCCGCCTCGTCTGCTTTACCATTGGAGGGTGGGACTTTAGCCACTCTGCCCCACCCTCTGGAACTCAACAACAACAACAAGATTGCATTTATAGAGCGACTTTCACATCGGGAGGACGTCCCAAGGCGCTGGACAGTTGGGTCGGGACCCGACCAGGGGGGAAATGGTCAGGGTGAGCGGAGGGAAGGGAGGGAGCGAGGAGGGAGTAGAGAGTCGAGAGAGAAGGTGAAGGCATGGTTGAAGAGAAAGGTCTTGAGACCGGCCTTGAAGGAGGAAAGGGAGGAAGCAAGGTGAAGGCACTGGGGGATAGAGTTCCAGAGCTTAGGGGCTGAAAGGTTGAAAGCCCGGCTACTGATGGTAGGGCGGTTAGGGCGGGGGGTGTGGAGCAGACAGGAGCCAGAGGAACGGAGGGTACGGGCAGGTAAGTAGGGGGATAGTAGGCCGGAGAGGTAGGAGGGAGCAAGGCCGTAAATGGCCTTGTAGGTGAGGATGAGGATCTTGAATTCGATCCTCTGGGGGATGGGGAGCCAGTGGAGGTGAGCGAGGATGGGAGTGATGTGGTCGCGAAGCCTGGTGCGGGACAGTACATGAGCTGCAGAGTTCTGAATGACCTGCAGCTTGTGGAGGGAGGTGCCGGGAAGGCCGATGTAGTCCAGCCTTGAGGTGATAAAGGCGTGGACCAGTGTTTCATCAGTGTGAGGGGTGAGGTAGTGCCGTAGTCTGGCGATATTCCGGAGGTGGTGGAAGGCGGTGCCAGTTGTGGCGCGGATGTGGGGAAGAAAGGACAGCTCAGGGTCGAACAAAACACCGAGGTTCCTGATTGGCTTTGAGAGGTGGAGAGTGCAGCTTTGGAGGCTGATGCTGTCCATCCCGCAGTCCCTCCGCCTCGCCCCCTCTCTTGCCTCCTTCAAGACCCATCTCAAGACCCTCCTCTTGT